GGTAAGGCTTCCGGGGGGGGCAGGGGTCCCTGCAGCCCTAGGATGCCCCCGACACGGGCTTCCGTGTGACGGAGCCCAGGGAGGGTGACTGTTCAACCTGGATGCCTGGGGGTGGTTGCAAGGGACTCTGCCCAGTGCGGTCTTGGGGTGCGCTGTTGGAAACAGGAAGCCTAGTCCTCCCTTCCCAGACGAAGCAGCCTGGTCGGGCCAGGGCGTGGCAGCCGCAGAAAGCCAGTCTCCTGTGCGGCTCTGGGTGGGAGCAGGCGGCCTCGCGCGCTGTTGTAGAAGGGACGCCGGCTTGGAGCCCACGCCAAGCTGGCTCTGTGTCCCAGGGGCGGGGGGGGCGCCCCCCCTGGGAGCCTGAGCCGCTCTCCTCCCCCAGAACGCCGGCCTGAGCGGCGGCGAGCCCCCGGAGAAGGAGCGGCGGCGCCTCAAGGAGAGCTTCGAGAACTACCGCAGGTGCGCCGCGCGGGCGGTTGGCTGCCCCAGGCGGGCTTCGGGAGAGCCGGCCGAGGAGGGGCGCTGCGGCCTTGCTGACACCCGCTCGCCTCTGCAGGAAGCGCGCCCTCAGAAAGCTGCAGCACGGCTCGAGGCAGGGGGAGGCGGACTGGGAGAACACCACGGGCAGCGACAACACCGACACGGAGGGCTCCTAGCCAGCCCGGCAGGCGAGGAGGACGGGGCGCCGAGCCCGAGGGGCGCAGGCACGCCGGCGCCCACGCACCGTGATTTGCACAGGCGTGCTCTGTCTGTGCGACGCAGATGCGTGCAGCAGTGTCAGAAATGCAGTTTCATAAATAAAGGACTGCCGTCCCAGCACCGCCGCCTCTGGTGGCTTCGCTCCCGCGTGTACCTCCCAGCCGCGCGTGCACCTCCCGCCTCCAGGGGGCAGTAGAGCACAGCCTGCCCGTCGGCGGACGGAAGCCGGAAAGGGCCGCTTCCGTCGCGTGCCCGCTTCCAAGATGGCGGCTGCGCGGCCTCCAGCGAGGCGGGGCGAGGCGGGGCGAGGCGAGGCGGGGCGGGGCGAGGCGGGGCGAGGCGGGAGACCGAGGTCGGAGGGCGCGATGCTGCGGGCCGCGCTGGGGCGCGTTGGGCCGCTGCTAAGCCGCACGCGGCCCCGGGGGCCCGGCCTGAGGTGGCTGTGGGGACGCGGGGCAGGCCCAGGGGCCGCGGGGAGAAGGCGGGCCGGGGTCTGGGGCTGGCGGCGCTTGAGCTCGGCTCCGCGGCCCGGGTCCGCGCACTACCAGCTTGTCTACACTTGCAAGGTGAGCGCGCAACGGGTGCAAGGCTGGGTCTGCATCTGGTGCTGCCTGGCGCGGCGGGATAGAGGTGCCCTGTGCCGGCGGCAGGACAGCATGAAGGGGCAGGGCCATCCGGGGGGGGCGGGTTCTTTCCTGGAGAGAGGTGAGGCTACATTCGGGGGCGGGCCTTTCCAGGAGAGGGGTGGGCCTGCGCGGAGGGGTGGAGTTGTCTCCCAGGGGCGGGGCCTTTCCGGGATCGGGGTGGGCTGTCTCAGAAAGGGCCGGCCCTTCCGGAGAGGGCAGGCCCTGCCCAGGGATGGAGTTCAACCTCAGAGGGGGCGGGGTCTTCCTTGAGGGGCGGGGCCAAGTACTTGGACTCCCCTGGGCTGCGGGTCTCCCCCAGGTCTGTGGGACTCGGTCCTCCAAGCGCATCTCCAAGCTGGCCTATCACCAGGGCGTGGTCATCGTGACCTGCCCCGGCTGCCAGAATCACCACATCATCGCCGACAACCTGGGCTGGTTCTCGGACCTGGATGGGAAGAGGTGAGGCTGCCCGGACAGGGGTGGGGGGACAGAGGCCTGTGTGCCAGGGTTGGCCTGGTGGGTCAGGAGCCCCGCCCCACCTTTCCCTGGGGCGCCCTTCCCGTCCACTTCCCCAGCCTTGTCAATGCAGGAGGAGCCGTTAAGTTTAAGTTTCAGGTGAACGAGGCACTTCGGCATAAGTCCCCGGGAGAGACTTGTTTTTCTTTGCTAAACGTTTCCACCCTAGACCAGCCCACTTTGGTCCCGCTTTGCTGCCTGACCTCTGCCCTCACCGGTGTGGCCTTTGGGGGCTGCGAGACCCAGTTACGTGTCAGGGCTCTGGGCCCCCGCTAAAGTGAGGGGTCAGACTAGGCGACTCTTGCAGCCGTGACTCCCTTTCATTCTGTGGCTCCTCCCTTCCCCTGCAAAGTTTTGTGCAGTGCCCGCTCCCGAGCAGGGTCCTAGCTCCTCTCCTGCCGGTGCTGGCTGGTCGGTCACACCAGACCTGGGGCGTGTGTGAGGCGGTGTGGATCCCTCCTGTGGAGAGCAGTGGGGGGCAGTGGTCGGGATCCTCCTGGCCGGTGGCCCCGGGCCCTTCAGTTCGGCTTCTGAGCGAGTGTCCGTCCTACTTGTGAACGGGATGGTAACAGCACCTTCCTCTGGGGGCTCTGGAGGTCCCTCAGGTCAGCATGCAGGGCCCTTGATGGCACACCAGTGTGGGGACCCACATTCCTGGCTCGAGCCCGGCCTTGGGGTTCCCCTGAGGGACCAAGGTACGGGATGGGCTCTGGGCCTGGAGTGTCACGGCGCCTCCTCGTCTCTCAGGAATATCGAAGAAATCCTGGCGGCCAAAGGGGAGAAGGTGTGCCGAGTGGCTGGCGATGGGGCCCTAGAGCTGGTTTTAGAGGCTGCAGGGAACCCCACATCCACCTCTGCTTCAGAAGCGAGTGAGGACCAGGATCCCACTCACCCTGGCAAGACGGAGCCTAGCTGACCCTGCCTCTGCCTTCAAGAAGATGCTTCCGCCCCGGGCCCTTCCGGACTTGCCTGTTTTCTGTCAATAAACAAACATCACTCAGACACGATGGGCCCTGGGGCCTTCTTGTTGTCCCCTGGTTCCAGAGTCCGAAACGACTCCCAGGAGCCCCGCCAGGTGCTGCTGGCCAGGGCCTTCTGCAGCAGCAAGACCCTGGCCCTCCCCTGTCCCCCTGCACAGAGGACTCGGCTTCCAGCTGTGTCCGCGTGGGAAGCGGCTGGATGGGGAGCCTGAGCCCCTCCAGGCCGTGGCCGGGTGGCCCTGGGCAGCTCCCTTTGCCCCTCCGAACCTCTGCCTTCCCAGCAGAAGATGAAGACGCTAACGGTGATGCCCTGTCAGGTGAAAGGACAGGAAGACAAGATTTGGGACAGGCGTGGGGTGGCTCAGACTCGTGGCTCCAGCCTTGCTGGGTCTGGGGGAGGCCTAGAAGGGATGGCTGATCAGCCACTGGTCTTCCTGGGGAGGATCAGCACCCCCCCCCCACCCCCCATGGGTCCTGTCCCTCTGGCCAGACACAGGGCGGCTTTCCAGACCTTCCTTCCTCCCGTGCTACCTGCCATCCCCCGACACCTGGACAGCGCTCAGGAGCCAGCGCCGACCTCAGCCCTGACCCTTGGCTGCCGGCCAAACGAAGTCAGCAAATCAGGCCGCCCGCTGTGGCCACAGCTGAGCTGGGTGGCCGTGGGGGCGAGGGGGTGGGAGTGTCGGCTGCTGTCTGACGGGCGGGGGGGCCGTGTGCCCCACGTTCGGGATCGAAGCGTGTTTATTTCCAGAAGCGTGACCTTCACCACTATCACCAGCCGCAGTCTCGCAGATCCTGGCAGGATCTGGGCTCCTGACTCTGCGCCCCCATCAGCGCCCGGAGCTTTGTCATTGTTCTGCGGGGCGTTGACAGTTTGTGCTTTGACTCGATTACCCCCTGTCTTTCCCCTGGCAGACAACCACCTATTATTCCCCCTCAGTGCCTCCTGTGCCGTTTGTGGAGACTGCCGGCCTGGGTGCTCAGCCAGCCCCCGGGCAGGGGAGGGGGGCTGCTCCCCGACGTGGGCACAGGAGGCAGGGCTGGGCCTGGGCCTAGCCGCTCACTGTCCCCAGAGGGTTGAGACCAAAGTTCAGCGGCGGGAGGCGGGGGGTGGCAGGCAGGGAGCCTGCTGGACTGACAGTGCAGAGCCGGGCACAGGAGGGCGGCCCAGGCCAGTCCCTCCCTTCACAGATGAGGAAACTGAGACCTGTGGTCTGGAGATAGGTATAGACCATACGTTCCACCTCCTGTATTCTAATGCTTGATGGCTGGGCCCTGCCGACCCTGGGGGCACTGCCCCTCCCAGGGTTAGTGCCTGGAGATGGGAAAAGACTCGCCCCGGAGTGCACCCCATGGCCAGGTACCAGCCAACCAGGGGCGGCCCCCACTCCCAGAGCCACTCAAGCTTCCTGCGCTGTCGCTTCCTGTGGAAACCACAGCCCTTGGAGCCTTTAGCATGTGAGCCACCGAGAGACAGCATGGCACCCTGTGCTATGGGACCGCAGAGCCTGGTCAGGGCACCGGGAGCACCAGAACTACTGGTTCAGGGGGCTCTAGTGACAGCTCCCCGGGGCCCCTGCAGGTGCAGATCCTGATGGCATCCTGCAGCTCCGACCAGCTTTTGCCCTCCCGGTGCCCCCTCGCCCTCAAGGGTCTCCTGACCTCCCTGTCAGGCCTCCTGTGGTCACGGGGGGGGCCCCATGCCGAACGGGTCACTGGGAGTTTGGTGAGCGAGGCGTCTCCCGAGCCCAGCACCTCTCCGCCTGGGGACACAGCGCCTTATGACAGCCGTTGGGTGGGGGTGTCACCCCCAAGCCAGCTCCTCGGTTGCACCCCCACAGACCGCGGCCCGGCACGCATCCGCCGGTGGTGCCTGGGGTCCCGGGCGCCCCACACCACGCCCCAGCAGGTCCTGGGCGGGTGAGCCGCAGCCCTGCATCGGTGGGGACTCAGGACTGGAAAAGGTGCTTGTGCTTCGCGTGACGTGGTCCACTTAGGACCGAGATGGCCCCTCCCAGAGCAGAGGATGGAGGGGTCAACCTGTCGCCAAGCGGCTGGCCGCCACTGGCTGGTCACCCCGCCGCAGGCTTGCTTCCCCAGGTAAGGTCGGTCGGCCACCTGGGGCCTCCCAAAGGACCAGCGTCCCCGCACCCTTAGCACTAACCCTGAGGCGACAGCATTCACTTGGCAGACTTTATTTTTTGGGGAAAAACAAAAAACCATGTACCTCTTGGGTTGGGAAGGACCCACTGACAACAGGGCAAACACGTGTGAGCAATAAATATGCTTGTACATTCAAGTATGTGGGGGCCCGAGAGGGGCCCGTGTTCTTCTGGCATCTGACCCCCCCACCCCGGGCTCCCACCCACACCTTTCAGAGCATCAGAGTCCAGGGCCCCCGGGCCGTACTGCAGGGTGGGGGTCCGGCCGCCTCCCCTGCCAGGAGGGCCTCTGAGAAAGATGGAGGGAGCTCAGCTGGGGCACCGCCTGAGGAGGACGTGGCCACCTCACGCCCTGGGGGCCGCGGGGCTCGGGGGGGTGCGCTCTCCAGAAGGGCTGGTGGCGGGCCAAGGCAGGGGCCTTTCCTGCGCAATCCCGTGGGTGGGCTTGGCTGTGCGGGGGCTGGACCCTCCCCATAGAAGGCAGTGATGTCACCTTCCCAGCTTGGGGCGCAGCGAGGGCTGGGTGCCCAGGGTTGGGCCGAGCTGAACCCCCCAGCTTTCACTGCCAGCCCCCGGCCCTGCCGCGGTCCCTGTCCTGGGCCTCTGTCCTGTCCTGCTCTGTCCCTGGGCCTCGGAGCTTGGAGTTGAGGGGTGTCACAGCCCATCGCACCCATCCACTGCCCCTGCCTGGTCAAGACCGGGTGCCGGCTGGGGCTGGGGGGCTGAAATGCCAGGACCTGGCGGCTCTGTGTGGGGGCACCTGGCCTGCCTCCGCTGCTGTGTCAGGTTCCAGGCTGAGACCGCCTCGCACCTTCTCTAGCCTGGGGGAGGTGGGAGGGCCGAAGGGCTGGGCGGGACCCCTCCCTGTGGGAGAGAGGCTGGGACTGGGGTAAACAGGTTCCATCATCCCAGGACCACCTCTGGGAGGACGGAAATGTCCGTGTCACTGGTAAGCCCCACAGAAAAGCCGTCAGAGGGGCCTTTGGGGATTTAAGGGAGGCAACAGCATCTTCACATTTGCCAGGCAGGATGGAGCTGGGCAGGGCAGGGGGGCGCCACAGAGGGTTTGGACCCAACAAGCTGCAGGCCTGGGGCAGGGGGAAGGCCGGGCCTGGGGCAGGGGGGAGAGCTGGGCCTGGGGCAGGGGGGAGAGCTGGGCCTGGGGCAGGAAGAGGGCTAGACCTGGGGCAGGGGGAGGGCCGGGCCTGGGGCAGGGGGAGGGCTGGGCCTGAGGCAGGGAGAGAGCTGGGCCTGGGGCAGGGGGAGAGCTAGACCTGGGGCAAGGGGGAAGGCCTGGCAGGCCTGTGGGAGGCCCGTGTACCACCCAGGGGTTGCTCTAGGACAGGAGCGCAGCCACCCTCCAGGGCAGCCCTGACCTGAGCCTGCCACCCTGGGAGGGAGCCGATGTGGGGGCCGTGTGCCCAGCGTCTGCCACAGTGGAAAGGGCCAGAGGGCTCGGAGCCTGTGCTCAGCCGTGGCCTCCAGAGGAACGGGCCTCTGGGCAGATGACCGTGAGCCCTCCGCCCCCCACCCCCCCCCACCCCGGCCCCGAGTCCAGGAGCGGGGGTGGGGCCGGCCTGGCTGCAGTCACAAGGCCTTAGGTGGCGCCAGGCTGGCACTGCTGCCGGGGCTCGGGTCTCCCGCTGACCTCCCGCTCCGGGCTCCCGGCGAGGTCAACCCGCTGTTCGTCCATCCGCTTGGCCTGCACCCTCTGGACGAGGCTGAAGAAGTCCTCGTCAGGCATGGTGGGGCCTCGGGGCAGCACGTCGGGAGGCGGGCAGCGCTGGTCGTCGATCCTGGCGGACTGGGCAGACACAGACGCGGGGGTTGGCCTCGGAGGGCCCCCCCCCCCCCAGCAGCCGGGCCAGTGCTCGGCGGCCTCGGGCACCACTCCACCACTCCCAGGCGGGGGCCACTGTCCAGCTGCGAGGCCGGCTCGGGAGGGCCTCCCTCCGTGCACCTGTACCATCAGCTCCGCGGGCACACCAGCAGCCCCGGCCCCGGGGGCGAGGGGCCTCCCCCAGGCTGCCCAGGGGCAGAGGACCGAACGACGCCCGCCAGACACGGGGTGAGGGGGCCGCCGGGCGGCCTTCCCGTGCCGCTCCCAAGGCCCCCCGATGGTGGCGCATTCAGGAGCCCCGCGGACAGGACCGGGGGCTCCCGGTGCCCGACGTGCGGAGGGGCTGGGGCTGGCGTGGGGCCGACGAGGCATTTGGGCTTCTCTGCAGGGTCTGGAGCAGAAAGGCCGGCAGCGGGTGCGGCCATCGGAGCCGGTTCGGCCGGGGGCTGGGGGCTCTCTGTAGGGCCGGCTTTGAGGCTCGTCGGACTCGCCCAGGGCCGCGCCTCGCTCGGCTCTGCGGGACGAACGGCACGTCCGGAAACTGCAGCGGCCCACACAGGCCACGCGGCTGCCCTTCCTGCAGCCGTTCCACGGGCTTCCTGACACCATTGCCTGCCGTCTGGCCTTGCCCCAGCCGGGGCGGGTGGGGGACAGCGGCAGGCGGCCAGACCCCACCATGGTGAGAGCCCTCCCCGCTCGGGGCTGACGCCTGGCCCGAGGCCACCACACTGGGGACCCGGTGCTCCCCCCCCAGCTAGAGCTCCTGTACTGTGAGGGGCGGCTGAGGACGTCCGGGGTGACCCTCTGGGGGGTCCCGGGAGGGGCCTCAGGTCTGAGCACTCACAGGCACTCAGTTCTCATCCGGCCCGAGACGGAAGGACCAGAGCCAGCTCCCGGCGGGAGGAGCCCCCACCCAAGACGAGGGCAGAGGGGCGCCGGGCCACCTCGGGGCTGGGGTGGGGGCAGGCGGGCGAGCGCCCCCAGCCTCCCCCGACCGCAGGCCCACCTGGCACTTGATGAGCATGTTGAAGAACTCGTCCCCAGGCTCCTGCGGGTCCCCGTCGGCACGCAGGTGTCCCAGGTTGTTGTGGGTGATACGGAGCCCAGGCAAGCTGCCTACGCTGGCACGCTGGTCGTCTAGCCGGCGGCTCTGCGAGCTGGCGATCAGGTCGAAGAACTCTTCGGTCTGCGGGGAGGCCGTCAGCGAGGGCCGGGCTGTGGGGGACAAGGTGCAGGGAAGGGGACCCCACGAGGCGGGTCAGGCTGGAGCCCAGTCCAGCCCACCACACTCCTGGGCACACGGGGCTCCCGGCGGTGGCTCCGCGGACCCCGGCCCCGGGCTGCTCTCAGCTTCCTCTGCCATTTGCCCCACACCCGCTCTGGGGGCTTCTAGAAGGTGCCGGAGGAAAGCCTTGCTTCCCACGCCCGCTCCGAGACGGAGATGCCCTGACACGGTGTTCCGGAGGGCGGACGTGATTACACACTTCCCGGGACGCAGCCTTGGGCGAGCGGGGGACGAGGAGCTCACAGTGACAGGGGGCACTTTTGCAGCTGGTGCGCCCGCCCCTCGGGAGCAAAGGCTCAGGGGGGCACGACGGTGGAGGGAGGGGGCTGAGCCTGGCCCAGCCCCCCTCAAGGACAAGAGGAGCTCTCTGGGTGGAGGCGGGGGCACTCACCAACCCTCTCCTCCAGGCTGGGGGCGGCGGTGGCCTCGGCGGCCCCGGGCTGACCCTCCTCCAGGGTACAGCGCTGGTCATCCATGCGGCTGCTCTGGAACTTGCTCAGCAGGTCAAAGAAGCACTCCTCGTCGGAGGACGGGGCCCGAGGGATGCTCTGGGGGGGGCAGGGGCGGTCAGCGCCGGCTCTGGCCCAGCCCCTCAGACCCCTGCACACCCCTGAGGGAGCCGCGCGGCCCGGGACAAGGTTGGGACCCTCACCCCACCTGCCCCGCCTCCGCCATCCTCCCAGACGTGACGTTGCCACCCGCCCCCTACCTGCCCCAACGCGGTTCAGCAGCCGCCACCGCCCCCGGCCCCGCCCCTGGACACTATCACACACCGTGGCAGCCCCCGCAGTGAGCTCCCCTCTGCCCACGCCTCTGGGGCTCTGGCACCCAGCACAGCACTCCCCAGCGGCTGCTGAATGAAGAAATGAAGGAGCGAGTGAGTGACGGGGCCCTCGGCAGGCAGCCTCACGGGCCACTTTGTGTATCACACTGGTCTGTACCAGGGTCCTGGCAGCAGTGATGGCGGACCCAGAGGTGCCAGCGACATCAGGTCAGATCTCCAAAGGCAAGGAGCCAGAGCTGGGGGAGGTGAGGCCTGCTGTGTTCCACCCTAGTCCCATCCCTTCTGGGGTTTGGGTCCTAGACCAGCGGACAGGCCCAGAGGATGCAGATGTGCGGGGTGTTCAGGCTAAAGCACCCTCCGCGTACTGGCCAAGGGGACCAGGATCTGCTCTGGATGGCTGGGAGGCAGAGTCAGGACATGCTGGGAGCACAGGGACTCTGGCAGGCACTGTCAGTGTTCAGCCTGGGTGGCAGGAGGGCTGACCCTGGGGGACCTGCTAGGTCCAGGCAAGCCCCACCGATGGGACCAGGGAGGGGCAGTGAGAAGCGGGAGACCGGGCCACTGGGCCTGCCTGCATCCCAGTTGGCAGGGGGACCTTGGACAAGCCCCCTCCCACGCTGAGCCTCGGTTTACACATCCATAGGAGAGCAAGCTGGAGGCACCGGTCTCTTGGCCCCCCCAAGGGCAGGCGCCCCCACTAGCCTCCCCACGTCTGATCCAGAGCCCTGAGTGCTGACTGACGGATGGGGTGGCTTCCGGAGATCACCTTGGCTGCAGACCGGTGCCTGCCCCACGTCCTCCCTGCCTCCAGTGTCCCCTGCCCGGCCCTGTCCTTCCCCCTCCCAGCTGGCTGGTGGCCTCCTGGGGGCCCCTCAAAGCTGGGCTCCTGGAGACACCGCACAGCAGAAATGTCACCTAGCGGGGCCTGGCTCGGTCCTCGAATTCCCGACAACCCCTCGCCAGCCCGCTGCAGACACTGAGGGAGGTGAGCTTGCACACCTCCAGCCAGGGGCAGCCCCGGGGACCCCACGAGCAGGCCCAGCCTGGGCTCCCAGGTTCAGAGCCGGGCTCAGGCTGCAGGGCCACAGGGGCAGGGAGGCACAGCGGAGTGGGTGGTTCTGTGCGTGAGACCTGCCAGCAGGTGGCAGCTCGGAGGACAGAGACCCCGGCGGGGCTCTCAGGTCCCCCTCCCCCCCCCCCCCACCTCCTGTCCCAGCAAGGCAGGCCTAGAGCCAAGGCTGGCGGTGGTTCAAGATCCCCCCGACTCACGACTCTGCTCTGCTGCGCCCCGGCCTAAGACCCCACAGATCCCAGGGCACAAGGCACCGGAGGCTCAGGGGGCGCCCCGGCCAGGGGGCTGCACTTGGTCAAGGCCTCCTGGGGGAGCTGCAGGCAGGATGGCCAGGGCCCAGCATCAAGCTCCGCACTGGTGGGGGCCGCACAGGTGCCTCCCCCGGGGAGGTCGCTTGGGGCCCCAGACTCAGCCAGGTGTGGGGGTAAGCACAGCACCACCCCACCACAGGGGACAGTCTCTGCTCCTGGCCCCCCGACACTGGCATCTGGCCCCAGCTGGGGCCCCCCCCAGGTGGACGGTGGGCCGGGCGAACAGAGCCAGGCCCCTCCCGGGAAAGAGGTAGCCCTGGGACCCCTCTTCTCTAGACACACGGGCCCCCAGCACTCCTCCAACCCCCCGTGGGCTGACCTCGAGGCTCAGGGGCACCCCTGAAGTAGGGCGGTGTCTGCCCACAGGCTTCTCGGGGACCCCAGCAGCACAGCAGGGGGCTGGGCCGAGAGGGCCCTGTGGGGCCATCCGGAGACAACCCCACAGCAGAGCCATCCTGGGCCACCTGTGAAGGGCTGGCGCTCCCCTTGTTGGGGGGGTTTGGGGTGAGGCCGCAGGTGCACAGGGTGAGGCTCCAGACAGCAAGGAGGCCCCGCCCCCCCTCGATTAGCACAGCACCCCGGGTCCTAACAGGACACGCCCCCACCTCTCCTCTGCCCCTGCCTCTGGCTCCTTCTGTCTCAGGGGGTCTCCGAGCCCCTCCTGCTGGAGTGCCAGCCCGGGTCTTGCAAACCCCCCGCGCCCCCCAGGCCCAGGGCTGCCCCCCTCCAGCCCCCCAACCTGCTGGCCGGGGTTCCTGAGGCCCCAGGCCCCGAGGGGCGGGGGAGGTGGCTGGACTGGTGCACCAGCCCAGGAGGAGAGCTCCGCTCTGCCCCCATCCTGCTTCCCACCGGCCCCTGTGCTCCCTGAGCCTCCCCCTGTAGGGGACCCCACACTCACGCTGGGCACGCAGCTCCCTCCAGCAGCAGCGACCGGGCGCTAAGCGCTGTCTACTGTGGGGTGCTCCACCATGCGGTGCCCTGCCGCCTCGCTGCCCCTGTTGGCTCAGCGCTTAAATAGGACCCGGGGGAGGGCCGTCCCCGCCCCGGCCCCCCCCACTGCACTCCCTTGCTCCCGCGGCCGCGCACGAACACGCGCACGCACACACATGCACACGCATGCTCTGCAAACACGGAGGGCTCCTGCTGGGGCCTACGGGGGGGGGGGGGGTGGTCATGCCAGAGGGGCGAGGAGGACGGAGCCTATCTGGAAAGCGGTCGCCCTGCTGACGGAGGGGCCCGGCTTCCTTCCAAAGCCGAGTCAGCCCAGGAGAAGCCGCCTCGTTCTTCAGCCCTGACTCCCCAGGCTGCTGAGGGAGCCAGAGGGATGCTTTCCCAGGGGCAGGGGCAGGGGCAGGGGCAGGGGCAGGGGCAGGGGCCGGGCGGCCACCACAGCCCCCGCCACTGGCCACGGGATCCCCTCCCTACACTGGGAGGTCTGTGGAGTCTTGGCCTCTGGCCTGCCTGCGGGGGGCCCAGTGGGGGCCGGCCCTGGGGTGTGTGGGGAAGCTGGCTGGGGGCGGGGGCAGAAGGGGGAAAGGTGGAGCCCCCTGGGGCCCTCTGGGTCCCGCTCCTTCTACAGGGAGCTCAGAGCCCCAGGAGGAGGGCCGGCCCGCAGTTGTGTCTGCAGGGCAGGGGGAGGTCTGGGTCCAGGCCTCCAACTGGGGCCAGGCTTAGCGCTCATAAAAATTTCCTCCGAAGGCGCCCGCATTGCCCAAAGCCCTGCTGCCTTCTCAGAGGAGCTGAGCGGGGGTTCTAGGAACTGACCTTGGAACCCCAGTTCCACCATTGCTAGCTGTGCGCCCTCAGGCTAACTTCTTTGCTGCCCCGTGCCTCAACCTCCCCTCTTATGGCTGTTGAGCCCTGGCTATTGTTTCTGTTTGGTAGACGCACCCCCCTGCCCCCCGCCAGCAGCAACAGGGACACGGCTAGGGCCAGGTTACCACGTGGAAAAGGCTGTCCTGTTTCCAAAGCCCCCTGTGGCTCCCTGGTAGCTGGGGGTCCTCCCCTGCCAGGCCCTTTCTGGATGGACCCCCAACCTTTGAGTCTAGCCCAGCCCTCGACCACACCCAGTCACACCTCCCAAGACCCCCAAGTCCCCATGCGCTGGTGGCAAGGCCCCTGCACCGCTCGGCTGGGGGTCCCCAAACGCACAGTGCGGGCAATAGCCCCACCGTCTGGGGCCTCCATGGTGGCCCCGTCTCCTCACCTCTCGCTCTACGGACACGGGCTGGCAGGTAGTGCTGGGGGAAGATGGGGTTGGCGGAGGCCCCCCCAGGCTCGTGGGAAAGATGGGTGCAAAGCAGCCATCGGGGGGGCTAAGAATACCAGCGCGGCGCCCACGCCCCTCAAAGGCTGGGAAGGTGCTGATTAAGCCCTCAGAGGCAATTATTTTTAGATCGAGTCCCAGATATTTGGACCCAGGCGTTCTGCACACGGGGAGGGGGGATGGTCCAGGCTGACCTCTGAACCTGGACTCACTGGGCACGTAGGTTTGCAGCCTGTACCTCCCAGACCCTGACCCGCTTCCAGCAGCCCAGACAGGCCAGCCCAGCCTCCTGGACACAGTGGGACACCTGCCAGGCAGCAGGAGGCCCCCTTCCCTCTGTCCCCCATCTGTCTGACCACCCGCCCGTCCATCCCTCACCCAACCGTCCCCCCAGGCCCCGTCCGTCCGTCCACCCCTGTGTGCTGCACACCCAGGACAGGGCTGCTCCCCGCAAGCCCGCCCTCCGGAGCCCCATCCACAAGGCCTCCTGTCCTCAGTGGCCGGGGGCCTTGCGGAGGCCGGACGCAACTGGCAGAACGCTGTCTGCGCTAAGCGTCCTGCACCGTCCATAGGTGCCATGTCCGCCAGGCCCCGAGGCAGCACAGGGCCGTGGCCTCTGACCCCGGGGGCGGCCCAGGTCGGCCGCTCGGCAGGGCACCCGAAGAGACGTCACCTACCGTGCGAGGCACCTGCACCCGGACGTCCGCGCTGTCCAGCGGGGAGTGGCCGCCCTCGCGGGGCCTCTCAGCGGTCTCCGGCCCCTCCTGGTACTTCCTGCTCCTCACGGGGAGCGGGAGCACGTCCCTGCCCGGCCCCCGCCACTCCCCCAGCTGGTGGCTGTCTCCATTCTGCTCCTGGGGGGAGGGAGGAGGCCAGGCATCGGTGGGGGCTGCAGCAACCCCACCCAGTGCTCCCATCCCAGGACCCTGAGCGGGGGCTGGCGGGTACAGTGGCCCTGACTCTCAGACGCACCCAGGCCCTGAGGTGCCTCAGGGAGGAGGAAGAGAGCCTGAGGCCCGGAGGCTGGGAGGCTGACCCCACACTGAGCAGGCCCTGGGCCTTGTCCCGCCACGGACCGCCCCAGGGGCACCCGCAACAAAGCCCAGCACACGCCTGAGGAACCAGAGGTTCGGAGAAGGGAGCTCACTCCCCCGGGGCTACACAGCACCCACCTCTGACGGGTACAGAGTGGGCCCAGAGCCTCCCCCTGCCCAGCTTCTGACTGGTCTGCTCTGCCCGTAACAGCTCTGCTTCCCCCGGGGCAGAGTCTCGGCCGACAGGGAGCAGGCGGGCACGGGGAACGGCTGGCTGGGACGCTGGGGACTGTGGCCGGGTGGGGGCTTGGGGGCCTGCAGGTTGCGAGGACCGTGGCTTGTCCCCCGGGGGGGCATGGCTGGCGGGCCCCTGGGGTGAGTGGGAGGAAGTGGGGCCTCGTGGGGGCCTCTCTGGGGGCGGATGGCTGCTCCAGGGTCTCGGGCTGCAGAGAGGGTGCTCGCCCCCCACGGCGGGGACGGGGGACAGACGGGAGCTGGGCTGGGAGGCGGCCGTTCGGCACCCATCACACCTGCCTCGTCAGCCCGCTGCCCACGCCCCGGCCGCCCAGCCTGAGCCCCACTCACCCGTTCCAGGGGGAGCCTCAGCAGGCCCCAGGTCTCTGCACTCAGCCTCTGTGTCCTCTTGGGCCTGGCACCTGGAAGACAGCGGGCCCAGTCAGCCTGGCACTGACCCTCGGCCAAGAGGCGGGCCGGCCCAGGCCAGGGCCCTCCGGAGGGCCTGCACCCTGGGGCCCGCAGATGAACCGCCCACGTCACCGTCTCCACGGAAGCAAACGCAGTGTCTGCACGACCTCGCACGCCCCACCCGGCAAGCAGCCGAGCGTGGAGATGGGCTGACCCTGCAGGGGCCTGGCAGGGGGTCTGGCTGTGCTGCCCCCGTGCCCGCCCTTAAGGGACTCCGTTCACCCCCCACCCTGCACGCACATGGGCAGCCCAGATCCTCCCAGGAGCTGAGCGCCCCTCTACCTGCAGACACGTGCTGGGCACCAACCGGGTGCCCCAGGGGCCCTTGTCCAAGCGTGGGGCCGCATGAGGCAAGGAGGCACTGTGGGTAGGGCGAGCAAGGCAGATGCCCCAGGAGTCATGTCTGGGCAGCACTGGACCTGGGACCCATTACCCTCCCTCAAGCTCAGTACCCCCGTCAGACTGAGCCTGCACCACACAGGGAGCTCGTGGGAAGCATCTTATGGCGCCTGGCATGTTGTGGACACCCACAGTCCACGTCGCGGTGAAGCCTTGCCCTCTGGCTACCCCAGCACTGAGCTCACTGGTGACGCCGTGCCACGGACAGCACGGGGCACGTGCCCCACCAGCGGCAGCGAGGCCAGGCAGGGAGCCCTCAGCTCGGCCCCCGACCCCACCTCGGGCCCCCGGCTCTGAGCCCAGAGAGGGGCCGTCCAGGAGGTCAGGCATTCAGACCAGCCCGAACCAAATGCCCAGGGAGTCCTAGGAACGGAGGAGATGGTGTGGGCGGCTGGCCTCCGGGCTCTGAGGAAGCTACGCCCTGTTCTCTACCCTCCAGAGGCCGGGTAGAAAAGCAGAGATCTTGGAGGAGGGGCTTCTGTGGCCGCTGTCCAGGGAGGGGACAGCAGGCAGCCGCGTGGGTCCAGGACTTGGGGCTGCCTGCCGCCCCTCCCACCCCCCCCCCCCCCCGCCCCCACCCCCCCACCTTTGGCGACGGGGTGGGCCCCGGGCTGGCTCCGCCCCTGAGAACGGCCCCTGGCCACCGGGCCTTGCCCAGCTGTGCAGCCGGAGCCTGACCCCGTGTTGTGAGGCCCAAGGAGATGGGGCAGGGTCCCCACTGCCCATCCCTCCCCGGATCAGACAAGCAGCTCTGAAGGAACAATGTGATCATTCCAACACCAAACTGTCTGGGGGCATCGCCTGGCCCGGGGAGTGATGGGGGGACAGCCGAGCGGTCCTGTGCATGGCCCTGTACTCACCACAGCCAGCGAAAACCCGGCCCCTTTCTCGGCCGCCCCCTGACACCCGGGGGGTCTGACTCGCCTTCCCCACTTTGTCTGCTGGGGCCCGCCTGGCTGGACCGTCAGGCCCAGGCCGTGGCAGAGGCTGAAATGTTCCTCTGAGACACAGCTTGTGTCCGGCTCCAGGGCGGGTCCCCTCATGGCCCTCGGGGCCCGGCTAAATGCACCCTCTGTGCGGGCTGCGCGCGCACTGGGGCATTCAGGCCAGAGCCACGCTGGCGGGCTTCCCGCTCCACCCACCCCAGAGGGGAAGGTCTGGAAACTTCCCTGAGCACCACCCCACTCCCGCCTGAGTCTGACCAGAATCATTTCTGTCCCCACCAGGCTGGCCAGGCCCCATCCCGCCCCTCCTGCATGCAGCCGGCCCGCTTAGGCGCACAACTCAGCTTCTAGCTGCTGGGCTGTGTCCCTCCAACTCCTTCCTGCCTTCAGTCTCAACTTCCAAAATCCTGGCAGGTCCTCCTTCAAAACAGATCCAGAATCCGACCCCTCCTCACCTTGCCGGGACCTGAGTGTCACGTCCCTCACCCGCCTCTCTGCACTCTTTGTCCCTTATACATGCTGGGGGCCCCGGGGATGCCCATAGGGCCTGGGTGAGATCTTCTTCCTCTGCTCACCCTGCAGGGCCCCTGGCATGGGGAGGGGCTTGCACAGGGCAGAGGTTCTCCCGCTCCCTGCTGCTCCTCTTAGCCAGCCTTACCCAGGCCTCAGGGCCTTTGCATGGCTGTCCTCCGTTCAGGCTCACTCCCTTCTCCCCTTTCAGCCTCTGCTCAGAAGTCACTACTATGGGGCAGACGTTTGTGTCCCCCAAATTCCACACTGAAGACCCCACCCCCAACGCGATGACATTAGCGAGCGGGGTCTTGGGGGTGATTAGGGTTAGCTGAGGTCATGAGGGTGGCTCCGGGGATGGGGCTGGTGCCCTTATGAGAAGACACTGGGGACCTCCCTGCAGCCCCACACCACCCCTGCAAACTGCAGCCCCACACCACACTTCCTGCAAACCGGGAAGAGGGCCGTCACCGGGACTGGCCGTGCGGGCACCCTGCTCCCGGACCCGCAGCCTCCAGAGCCGCAGGAAGTGGACATTCATCTTTGCAAGCCGCCTGGTGTGTGGTGTTCTGTTCCTCGGCCGAGCTGAGGGCGACAGCGGCCTCCACGCGGCCCACGCGGCACGCCCACCCGGCCGCTCGGCTTTTTTCCTCCCCAAGCGCTTGCTCATTCCCAGGCACGCCTTGCTTTTTTGTTTATCGCTGTTTGCCACATACTGGTCGTTTCTGGCTACCTTTGCCGGTTACGCTCCCCGGTGTGTCCCAAGCCTGGCTTCAACGGGGCTTGGCACACCAGGGGACCTGGGAGGCCTGACCCAGTCAGGCAGCAGTGTCAGGACTCGTCCTGGGGCCTCTGCTGGGATGGGAGCTGCAAGGCTGCTGAGGTCAACCTGTAAATTGGGTCCCCCAGCTGCATAAAGGGCCCTTGTTTTATCAGGAAAGAAAACCCCTTGGGTCCCGGCCTCCAGGACCAGCCACGGGCCACGCCCACCGCGGTCCCCGCCCACCGGCCCCAGGCTTCTTCCCTCCCAGAAGCAGCCTGAGGCATCTTCCCTGGGCTCCAGGTCGCGGGCTGGGTCAACACCCTTCCCTGGCGCTCACCTGGTCCCCCCTTCATTCCCCCCCCCCCCCCCCGCCCCGGCCAACCGGCCCGGCCCGACCCACGCCAGTGCAGCATCCCCGCCCCGAGGGGCAGTTTCCAGGCCAGTGCCCACGTTCAGTGTGCACTGGACAAATGAGTGGGTGAGTAATGCCACCCCCGTAGGAGACTCCTGGGGCACTCCGTCCACAAGGCCCCGGCCCCGCCGGGCTCACCTGAGTGGGCGGGGGGGGGGCCCTCCACGGCGGCCCAGACTCAGCAGCCGCATCCCCGGGCCTGGGGCCCCCACACCTGCCTCCGTGGCCCGGAGCAGGCTGCTCTGGAGAAGGGCCTCTGCCCGGCCTCGGCCGGTGGCCCAGCGCTGGCAGCCTGGCAGGGAGGGGGCTTCCGGGGGCCCCGGCTGGGAAGGGTCTGGGCACAGGGCAGAGCAGCAGGGCTGGCGTGGGAAGGACAGAAGCTGCCTTGTTCCCGGCACAGCCCAGCCCTCCACCCGTGATGCGCCCCCCTTTCCTCAGCTCAGAGAAGAGGGAAAGTTGCCGGAGAACCTGGAGCCGGCCGCAGCCCCGGGGAGCCTTTCCAGAAGCCCTCCGGGCCGGGCCCTGCCCCCACCCACTGCTGGGTGTCGCAGAGGGCGGCCTCACAGGGCCAGGGGCTCCAAACAGAGTTGCCCACCCTCAGAAAACCCCTGCCCAAAGGGAGCCACGGTCTTGTACATCCTGGGGCAGGGTGGGGGGCAGGGTGGGGGGCAGAGGGGGGCCCTCCCCCGTCCCATCCCTTGCAGCCACATCACCCCAAAACAAGGGTGGCCGGGGGTCCCAGAAACCTTCGCACCCTCCCTTCCGTCTCAGCCCTTGAGGCGGGGTGGGGACACGTGCCTCCCCTTGCCCAGGACAGGCATCGTTAGAAACCCTGGAGCCTCTCCAACGCGGCCAGGTGCCACTTCCCGGGGCCTCATTCTCTGCAGGCCTGATGGGCTCCAGGTTGGGGCAGGTGGGTACCCCTAGGGAACACAGCCACGAGGGGGTTGGGGCCAGACTCCCCGCAGCCTGGGGTCGGTGCAGGCAGGGAGGGGGCAGCTAGCGCCCTGTGCAGAGCCCCACGCCCGCCTGCAGCCACGGGGGAAGCCAGCTCAGGGTGGCCCCCCCCCAGCTCCCTATTTACCCATTTGCTCTGCAAGGAACATCCCGCCCTGCGTGCCTAGCAATGTTCACCCACATGGGGCTACAGCAGCCCGGGACTGAGATCAACATAGCTGCCTTGGCTGGTCCCGGGGCTCACCTGAGTAGCGCCCCGCCCGCCCGGAGGGAGGCTCTACATCTCTGGCTGACTCAGCCTCCCCCTCTGGCCCCCAGGCCCAGCTCTGAGCCGGAGGTTGGGGGGGTCCTCAGCCCTTAAGGGGATGGAGCACGGAGGGAGGAGCAGTGAGTGCCCCTCCCTCCTCCTCCTAGCCAGGGGATCAACCTGGGGGGCTCAGAGTGACTTCAGGCCCTCGCTGGCCCAGAGACCGTGAAGCACCAGCCCGAAGGCCTCCCGTTCAGGACACACCTTCGCCCACACCGTCCCTGCCCCCGAACACCCCTTTCCACCCCGTGCTTCCCAATCTCGGATTCCTAACCTGACCTGGGGAAACAGGGCCCCTCGTCTGTGCCCCGAGCACCCTGGACACCTGGTCACCCCCCGCGCCCCCGGGAGCTCCAGAGCAGGGCGGAGAAGTGGTGCGGACAGACACCCCCAGCGACGGGGGCTTGCCACCCTCACTGGGCAGTTCTGTCACAAGGGCTCCTGTGGGCAGAGGCCACCTCCCCGTAGACCTGCACCCGGAAGCCCAGCACCGTCCCGAGGCCCAAGCCTTGAGTTCTCCGGGCGGTCCTCCCGCCACACCCCTGCCCACCCAGCCCGGGACTCACCTTGGGCCTCGTAGCCGGCCAGGTCGGGCTTCTCCGTGGCCGCGGGGCTGCTCAGCCGGCCCAGCACCAGCTGCAACTGTGCCACGTTCATGCGGGCCGTGAGCTCCCCGTTTCGGTCCCCGATCTGTAGCCAAGCGGGGCCAGATTGGGGGGCAGGTGGGCTGGGGGACTCCTATAGACAATCATGAGCCCTGCGCCTCCCAAGGAACCAGGCCTCCCTGTGCCCCAGGGGTGCCCCTCACACCCCAGAACGCTGGGGGCGCCGCGTGAGGCCCTCCTTCCCGAGCGCCCTCCCGAGGACAGGTGGTCTGGTCCAGACTCCAGCTTTCTCGGCCCCTTGGAGCCTCACGTGCACCCTTCAGGCACCCCCAGCTCAGAGCAGAGGCTCAGCAGGGGCCGAGAAGTGCAGAGAAGTGAGGTGGGCCCGGGCCGGGCCTCGACTGAAGCTCTGGGGCCGCTGGCGTACCCCTGCCCGTGCTCAGGGGTCTGTGGGGCCGGCCCTGCTGGTGGCCCCGGTTGGCAGGGGGGTGGGGGACTCTCCTGGCCCGAGCTTCCCTGCTCCTCCCCACCGCCTGGGCTCCGGTGGGTCTCACCCACAACAGACACGGGGCCGTGATGGGTCTGGGCAGGTGCTGGGCATGTGCTGGAGGGAGGTGGCCGTGCCGCTGGGGCCAAGGAAAAGGATGGGGTGGAGGTAAGAGGGCCAACCAGAAACCAGGGAGCCGGAGGTCACCCGTGATGCCCTGTGGCACCCGGCCGTGGACCACCCAGACCTCAGTAGGAGGGTCCTGCGTGCAGACAGGCTCTCAAAGACCCTGTCTACCGTCCCCAAGGTGTCCAGCTGGAAGGTTCCAGGGGAAGAGCCCCAAGGGCAGCCTGCGGTAGGTCATGCCCACCTTGCCCTGCCCGCAGGGAATGCCAACACTTCAGGTGGAAAGCAGGCCACTGCTCCCCTCCCCCCACCCCCTGGCTACACCAGATAAGCTGCCATCAGGCGTCTGCAGGCAGGGGGTGGCG